CGCACCTTGAGTACCCAACTTGGGTGAACGGGGAGGCTGTGCCACTGGACCCTACAGGACACCTACTACCTTAGGCCAAACTATCAAGAAAGAGCGGAGATAATCATGACTGGACCTAGAAGGAGGTACCCATCATGTCGGCTCATGTACTTAAGCCAAAACCCAGTTAGTTACATGGCAGAGAGGTTGGGATATAGAGTCCTCTCTATGCCAAGAAAGAAGAGTAGTGATTTCATTTACATACTCAGCCAGTCTCTGCCAGAAGAAAAGAAACTTTTCTCCCCAGAGTAGCTATGCACATAGTAACATGTATTATAAAAGAATACTGAGCTTCTGAGACAAAATACCTGTGTTCAGATCACTTTGCATTTTTCTCCCAGAGTGATGGGAGCGCATTTACTTTATATTTCTGAAGAGCCTGCCCCAGGAGTTTTTCTCAAGAAGACCCAGTTTCTGCACCAAAGAGGAATCCAGGTCTCCCACTTCCGGGGGAAATGAAATTGGTATAGTTTTCAAATCACTCCCACAGCCTCCGCCATTCCTTTTCCACTTCGCTCTCAAGGTTTCGAAACTTTTAAAGTCCAGTCTAAGCAAAGGCAGGCAGCTTGTCCCCCACCATCTGCATTTCTCACTGATAATAGCCCAACAATGAGAAAACAATGAATTCACAGAAGAGCGTGTTCCCACCCACTTGGAACAGAGTCCCTTTTACCAGCCTGTTTGATTAGCTGGGGAAAAAGCATCCTCATTTCCATAACCCACAGCACAAGGAGGCACTGAATGCAGCATGACGATGCAGAGCCCCCCAGATTTGCTCCGGGTCTTTGGTGCTTGACAGCAGGATAAAGGGACTCCTTGCCTAAGCAGCCACATAGGCTCATTGTATGATTTGGGCACGTAGTGACGGTGACCAAGATGTGGACTCCAGAGCATGTACTCCGTTGCACGACCTTAACAAGGTCAATCCTTCTTTCTTGAAATGCTTTTTTTCACTGAGCTTCCGGACCACAGCACTCTCCAAGCCCTGCTGCTTGTCCGCTTTCTCATCTGCTGGTCTCCTTCTCTTCCAAGCCTCTGAATAGTATCCTGCCTCTGGACCAGCTACTCAGGCATGAGTTAGGGATTTCGAAAAACTATGGTTGTGGAATCAGCTCCTCCCAAGCCTAAAAGCTTTGGACAATTCCGATAAAATGTCCCCTCCCTTCTTCCCTTCCTTCCTCCTTCCTTCCCTGCCTCCCTTCCTTTTTTTTTGTCAAATTCTCTGGATACTGTCTCCCTTCATAAGTAGTAATTAGGGTTTCCAGATACGGCAGTTAATTGCTGAACTTTTTTCTCTTAACTTGCTGAGAAAAAGACAAAGAGGACACTTTGGCTATTATCAGTGAGAAATGCTTTGTTGCCCTGGAAAATCAGCTTAAACTGAACCTAGTGGGAAAGAGTCCATGAAATACAAGAGGGGAAAACAATGAATTCACAGAAGAGGTTGTTCCCACCCACTTGGAACAGAGTCCCTTTTACCAACCTGTTTGATCAGCTGGGGAAAAAGCATCCTCATTTCCATAACCTCCTTGCCCTTTGTGTTTCAAGGTGGCGCCATTCCAGGGATGCAGTTTCTATATGAATGAAGGAGGCCAAAGGCCCACAAATGTCCGTCAGACACACACTGGATATAGTTTCTCAAGATTGTCCAGGGTTCTCCTGTTATCATCTCTTATAGTCTTGTGCGGAATGATCTCATATTTGCAAATGGGTGTGCCCTCTTTAACAATCCAGTCACCAAATACTAAATTAATTTAGGAAATAGCTATACATCATTTGTGTGCCTACTGCATACACATTCTCCTACTGGGCACCGCCGGGATGAGGGAGACTGCCCTGCCTTTGGGAAGCAGATGGTCTGGTGAGAAGCAGCGCTTACACCTGAAATCCTGTTCTTAATAGACGGAGCACACCACGGGCAGGGGCGGAGTCTTTTCTCACTATCTTCTACATCACCTAAATATTGTGTTGAGAACATAAACAGATGATCCATAAATAGTTCTCACAGTGAATTTCCATAATGAAAACTCACAATGGTCACAGCCAAATTTCGGAGGAAACCAGTGACCTTCTGTCTCTGTGAGGGGTCATTATGATGGCCGTAACACCTTACACGGTGGGAAGCGGTGACTGATAAGAGGCTGAGAAGAACAATTCCTGTGGTTCAAGTCAAAAGGACATTTGAGTAGACCAAAAGGATGAATCAGCACTGAAATTAACCTTCATACCATAGATATTGCTTATTGGGGAAAAGAATGTTTCACATCTGAGGAAAAAAAAAACAAGTGGTCAGGAGGTTTGAATGCTCATTGCAAAATTGTTTTTGTGTGACTTCACACCCTTGATGGTTTCCTCTCTAAAATGGAGCTCATCAATTAAGCAGGTGTGAACTTGCTTATGGTTCTCAGAGCTGGGATTGGACCACAGAGAAGGAAATGAAAGGTCTTCCGAGGCACTGGCCATCTCCTCTGCTTCTAGAATCTGTCTCAGAATCTTATCCGCATTTACTTACACTGTCTCTAAACTTGTATCCCTTCTAAAGAACAACCTAGCTGGTTAAACTCAAATTAGTATAGCACTGTCTCTTAGACATTTAAAAATATGTAAAGAGAAATAATCACTGTTCTCATGGTAATTTCAAATGGCAATTTCTCTATTATATAGTTAATGGTGATAGGTCATTTTGTTTGTTTGTTTGGGTTTTTTTTTTTTTTTTTTTTGTAAAATGGAGAAAACACTCAGCTGCTCAGTGAGACAGAGCTAAAATATTCTGTAAAAACAGTACTTACAAAACAGGCAGAACCCCTGGGCTACCAATTTATGAACATACAACTAGTAGTACAAGACAGGTGTATTGTTGCAGATTCATGGCCCAGAAAAGGATTCTATTGTTTTTTATTTTTAACAATAAACACTTCATGGCAAATCATTTTTATAATAAGTGAATAAGGGGAATAAAAACATGTATATAGCAGAATCAAATACTGGTTTTCCCTGGGGTTTTCACTAGCTTTCTCCCACAGCCGCTGGGCACATTATTTCTCTTCCACTTACTTTTTATACTCGGGGCGGGGGGGGCAGGGGGGCGTTGGTTTCCAGGCTGTACCTGCAAGATTTGTTAATCAAATGAATTCCAGCCCCAGCAAGGGTAGGACAGCATGGCCTCTGGGGATAGATTCTGCCAGGGGCAGCAAGTCTCCCTTGTTTGGGAATTTTTTTCCTGGTTAAACTCTATGCTGAAATTTTAGCTTCTTTTACCGTAATCCTGAGGTATCACTGTCATAGATAACTATGGTTTAATATGAACTAATGTATGGTAGGGGGAAACCTAGCAAGGCCCATCTGATCAAAGTCTTCTCTGTAATCTCATTGTTTCAAAATGGCCCAGCAAATATTTGTTTACTAAACATTAACTCTTTTCATCTCCCTGTGAATTGTTTTTCTGCCCTTTGAAGTCCCAAACCACGACCCTCACCCCCTTCTACTTAGCTCGAAATAGCTTATAAGCCTTAACTGCCAGATTTTCCGGGGTTTCACATTCATATGGAACCCCCATATGTACATAGGTAATAAACCTGGTTATTTTTCCTCCCCTTATAGAGCCTATAGGCATTTGATACCTTCCTGGGAATGTTGGGGAGCGCGGGTGTGGGGTGCACTCATTAACCTTCATTCTTGTTTTAAGTACAACGGTGCAAGTCCTCAGGGAAAAGTCAAGGCTGCCATTATGCGATTCCACTCACTGCCATGGAAACACACTCGTGGATGAGCGTGCATGCGTGGATGTGGCAGATGAGTGTGTTGTATGTGTGAGTGTGTTTGGAAAGTGTATGAATTCACATGAATATATATATTCATATATTTGTGAGTTCTTGTGTATGAGTATGTACTTGTGTATTTTTGAGCAAATGTGTTTGTGTATCTGTCCATGTGTGTATGTGTATTCATGTTCATTTTGTTTGTGTATGATTATTTGCCTGAATGAGTGTGTGTATGACTGCGTAAACAAAAATGTGTTGTGTGTGGATGTGTATTTGTGTGTAGTTTGTGTGTTATGTGCGGTGAGTGTAAATGTGTGCCTCTATCCATTTTGTGTGCATGTGTGAGTTTGGGTGTGTGTAAGAGAGTATGGTTTTTGTGTGTAAATGTGTGTTTGGGTAAGCATATCAGTGTGTGAGTGTGTAGTTGCCTGTGCAAGTGTGTATTGTATATGGATTTGTAGTTTTGTGTGTAGGAGTGCACTTTGTGGGTGTATTTGTATGTATGTGAGTGCATAGTTTACTGTGTAAGGGTTGTGTGTATTTTTTGCGAATGTGAATATTTGTGTGTATGTGTATTGTTTGTGTGAGCGTTGTACCTGTAATTGTGCAAGTGCAAGCATTTGTGTATTGTAACTGTGCATGAAGTGTGTGTGCATTTCTGTGTATGTGAGTATATATATTTGTGTGTGTGCCAGCACGCGTGGGAGCCGGTGTGTGTTGCCGCCATGCGCCTCCACCTCCCCACGATCCGCCCCACTGGCGCGGGAGCAGAGGCAGCGGCCCGGGCTGGGCGGACGAGGGAGGGACACGAGCCGGGGTAAGCGAGCTGCACCGCCACCGTCACCGTCGCAGTGCCGACTTTGCCCTTTAAGTCGGTTTCCAAGCCGATTACAGCTGATCTCCCACGTGACGTTTTACCTTCTGTCTCCCGGAGCGAGTTGCCCGAGGACAGTCCTCCTCAGGCTGCCACGCGTCTAGCCTCCCCAGCCCGTGGCGGGGGTCTCCGGCTCCCGCAACTTTGGTCGACGCAGACGGCGACCAGATTTCCCTCACGGAGCCACTCTCTGCACGGGCGCCGGGGGCTCCCGGAGCTTCGCTCCGCCAGGAGGGCGGCGGTCTCGGAGAACGAGCCTGGACGCAGCCGGGCGCCCCTCGGACCTGCGCGTCCCGGAGGCCGGCGGGGGTGCCCTGTGCGAAGCGGCAGGAGAGGGGGCGCCCTTTGCCAGCCTGGACCCGGGCGAGCGGGCACGCCCTGGCGGGAGACGGCCAGGAGATGGCCGCGAGGCAGGGGTGAGCCCCCCGCGTCCTCACGATGCAGAAGAGCGTGCGCTACAACGAGGGGCACGCCCTCTACCTGGCCTTCCTGGCCCGCAAGGAGGGCACCAAGCGCGGCTTCCTGAGCAAGAAAGCAGCGGAGGCGAGCCGCTGGCACGAGAAGTGGTTCGCCCTCTACCAGAATGTGCTCTTCTACTTCGAGGGCGAGCAGAGCAGCCGCCCTGCGGGCATGTACCTCCTGGAGGGCTGCAGCTGCGAGCGGGCGCCCGCGCCGCCCAGGGCCAGTGTCGGGCCGTGCGGCGCCCGGGACGCGCTGGACAAGCAGGTACCATGCGCCCTCCTTTCGCAGTCTTCTGGCCTCCGGCCGCCGCGCTCCCTAACTCTTCTAACCCCAGAGGTCTAGGGCTTTACGGAACGCGGAATCCAGGCTCCAGATCCGAGGTTCCCCTGCGGCCTTAGTGGCAGGATATCTTTACCCGCCTTCCCATCTCCATCCCTCCTTCTCCCCACCTCCGTGTAATCACTGGGGATAGAGGGGCTCAGCGTGACTCTGAGAGCGGTCGGGGCTTTTCAGCTCCATTAGTAACCACCCATTGCTTCTCGAGACTTTCGGAAGGATTTAGTGTGGTGACGGGTGTTGACACCTGTTGAATTTAGAACGGCAAGACCGAACTAAGTTATTTGGGAAAGTTAGGTTTCTCCCTTACCCGGCTGGTGCGTGTAGGTTCTTTGCCTGCAGATGTTTGACCGCTGGCTGTGCCGGGAACAAGCGGGGCTCCCAGGATGGACAGGCACTTTCTGTTGTCCATTTTCAACCTTTGTGGATTTTGTCAGTTTACCTTGCTAACATTTGACCTGCTGGCTCTAATTACGAAGGGAAATGTGTATCTAATTCCCTCAGGGTTAGTATTTGGTACCACATTCTTGCTATATTTAAATGTGTGGGTGTCTAAAAAGACCGCTTCATTGTTGTGCTTTTTAAATGAGTGCTTTGAAAACGAACGTGACCTTTTTATTCTCGGTCATACTTTTATTAGTTTTGCTCTGCATTCAATACTACTCCGGGAGGGAAAAAAAACACCTCTCTACATTGAGTAACTATTGCGCCCCATTCCTGCAAATGAGAAATTTGTATTTTTTTCAATTACCAGTTGGTTATTAAAGTTAAAGCAGGCTAATTTTATGTTCCCAAATTCTTACCTCGCTTCTAGATCTCCACCTTGCGGGCGGGGGCGGGGGGGAAATAGGCTGGTTGTTTTTGCTGTTGCATAAAAATATTTCGCAGCTGAATTTTCCGTGCAAGTCAGACTGAACAGCTTCTCCTGCAAACCACCGAGGGTGGCTGTGGGAGGCGCTCGCCGTGGGACGATGACTACGATGACTACCTAACCTCTTGGTGCTCATACAACGATGTGTAAAATTAAGGGGAGTTTAAGCTAGATCGACCAGAAGTTTGATTTTTTTTTCATTTTGTTTTCACTATAAACCATGAACAGACTTAACTAATTAAACTTGTTATAACACTTAAAAATCTGAAAATTTAAGCACATGTCCTTTGGTTTTAAGAGCACGTTGAGGTCATTTGAAAAGCTATTTCCAATTTTGCAGATATGGATACCGGAAATATGAGTTTAAATTTTGAGTCATGCATTTCAGAATTTAAATGGAGAGCAGGAGAAGGGTTTTGAGGAAACAGGGTTTTTTTTTTTTTTCTTTTTTCAGGATCCATTTTTTTTAATTGGTGAGATTTATTTAAAGGTATATGTTCCAAGGCCCCACGAGCCAAACCTGAAAGTCTTTTAAGTGTTATTATGTCTAAAATAATATAGGATACTTTAAACTACTCTGATATATATCATTGGCTTAATTTCAAATTATGTTTTCTCTTTGTATTTATACTAATATCAGGAGATAATCACTTTAATTACTTTTCTGAGCTGGGGGTGGGGAGTTGCTACCTGTTGCAACTTGGCTGTCTATTAGTTAATATATAAAAACCAGCATTTTTCTACTTGGGAAATACTTGAACTCTCATCTTCAGGATGGTTTTCTTTACATCCCACTTTGATAAAGAAATGTGACCTCCAGATTATTGGACTTTTATGTTACTTTCTAGTGGAAGTCCTGCCCAGGTCATCTTATGAAAAACATATTTCTCTGTTTATCATACAAGTTATGAGTATTTCTCAATCATTTTATGCTCTTTAAAAGGTTAGCAATGAGAACCTTTGTTTGTTTGTAGAAAAACTGAAATGAAGAGAACAAGCCTTCCAAATGGATTAGGAGTTGAATTGGGAAATCTGTAAATTTATCTCTTCTTAGGCATACTTCTGTGACTTGGGTTGGTTTAGCAGATTGATGCTTTTCTCCACCACTGCCTATCTGGGTGTATTTGAAGAACTAAGATGAAACTGGGAAGATAAAAAACAAGAAAAACTTTCTACCTTAAATCTACAGTCTATGCAGTTGGTTCCCTTTCAGTTCATTTGTGTTGCTAATGTGCTCACTTCATCGGAGCTCCTAGCCTGCTGGACCTTGTGAACCCCGGGAGGGGGAGGGCTGATGTGAGGACCAGCAGGACCATCTCAAGGTCCGCTTTTCCCAGAATGCCTCTCGAGCTTTCCACATAAGTATCTCCATCAGTCTCATAAACATTAGGTGAAGGTTAGGGCTTGGAATGGGACTTGGGGAGGCAGAGTGGGTTTCCTCCACCAAGTTTCTGTGTGACTTTAGGCAAATTTCTTACTGTTGTCTCTTTTTTTTCCTTCTGTTAATGAACTCTGTTTCTTAATTTATAAAAATTAAGGGTTTGCCTAAGACGATTTCCAAGTTGCTTTCTAAAAATGTCATCTGTTTCCAAGATTATGACAGACAGGGTGAACTTTGTGGCTGTGTAGAGGATGCCAATTTAAATTCTACTCTTTCACATAATTTTAAAATTCAATTAATTGTGTTTTTAAGTAAGTTATAAGAAAATATTGATTGGTTTGATTCATCTAAATAATAATCCAAAGTAAGTTAATTGACAAAAGAAAAAAATAAGAATTTTTTTCAGCACTTTGTCTTAAAGTGTTTCCAGTCAAGAAGAAAAAAAGGTATTTTTTACTTTTCAAATGTGCCTAGGTTGAAGGGATATTCACATTGCTTCATTTCTTCAATAGTTTCCCAGGATTTCACTTTGGGAGACCTTTGGGAGATTGCAAGGCTCACTTATCAGCCTTCCTTAGTGGCTGCTTCTTAGGGATAGTTATGGTGATATCAAAATGAATTTAACAAAATTTTAACTGGTGTTCCTTTTCTCAAAAACGTGTGCTGTTGGTACTTTTTTCTGAGAGAGCTCCATTTATGGAAAATGAAAAAAACTTACCTTTCATTCCAGGTGAAGGTATTTAAGAAAGAAGGGAATTTACATTTAGTAAGTACTTTATATGTGCCAGGCTTGGTATTATCCTCCAGTGTCTCCTTTAGTTTGAACCTCATTTTGGTTCTTAGAGATTGGTAGTATTTTTTTCATTTTTACGTATGCTAACACTGAGGTTCAGAGTTCTTGGGGGAGGTAATCAAAATCCTACTCCAGGTATGAAGACTGAATAGCCTTGAAGATTGCTTTACTAAAGATTGAGTTTAAACCCATTGACCTTAAGACATCTCAAACCTGGGTGGGATGTGGGTTGGAGTTGTAGTAGGTGAATCACTTTTTTTGTTTATCCTTATTTTCCTTTTGAAAACCAAAGGGCAGTTGCATTCTTGAGACATACCATGTGGAGTACTACATTTTCAAAGAAAAATGGGACTTATGCTTAAATGAACACGTTTACATGGCATTCATTTACTTCTTTAGGGATGTTTAAAAATATTTGCCCTTAGGGTGACAGCGCACAGCTGTCAGTCCGTGTAAGTGGCTGTGTCTGTCTTGCCTGCTGGCAGGAGAAACACAGGAACAAAGCTATCTTTATCCTTATTTTTTGGGTAATGTTAAGTGTTCTATTCAGCCTGACTTCAGCTGTATTTTTTTGTGGGGGGATATCTCATTATTTCTGGAGGTTTAAAGTAGTAGATACTTATCATATTTGTGCTGAAATAAACATGTTGATTTAATTTTAGAGGGATTAAAGGTTATGTGATTTCCCCTGTCACTTCATTATGAGCCAGCCATTTAAACCTTACTCTTTTGACCACAAGCAGAGGATTTTAATCATTTTATCAAGTTAGGCAGAGCTTCATGCAAACCCTGAAATATCTGTGGAGGGTAGGGAAATATCTGTGGAGGGTGGTGGTTTTTCATTCTAGTTCATGATGTCTAATTGATATATAATAACCACTTCAATATTTTTTTCCTCAGCCATTGCATATTAATAAATATAACAAATAAAATATTAAGAAATATTTTTTGTTAAAAAAGTAAAAAATAACATATTAAATAAAAGAAAAATGGAATAAAAATATTTGCTAAATATTATAAATGAAGAGTTTTAAAATATAATTTAGGGAAGAAAATGATTTATTACAGGAACTTTGTAACCATTCTTCCATTTAAACTTAAATGAAGAAAAATGATTTATGGATTAGCAAAGTTTAGTTATTTTAATTTTGGCTACCACAAACATTATTATTTCTATTATTGTACTTATCATTAAGAATTTAACATAGACAAATCCATATATGATGTGGCAGATGTACATTAAAATGCATTTTTATTGTGACAAGTATTTTTCTGTGGGTTTTAATAAAAGAACTAAATCCACTGTTAAATGATGGAAACCACTTGTAGTGTGATAACATAATTTTTTGCATCTTTCAAGAATTAAAAAATAGAGATATATTTTTTTTTATTGGGTAATGATATGTCCTAGAGCAAATGTGATAATCAAATGTTTCTGGTTTTAGTGAGCCAATGGTAATAGTTTCTTTAAAAATTGTTGATATTTCAGTTTGTTTAAGGCAGATTATATTTTAAATTTGATTTTGTACATATTTTCCAAAAAATTTGCCTTCTGCGGTCAATATAATTTTAACTTAGTGGAATACAAAAATTTAGTCTTTAAGATTATTTTATAATGAAATCAGCCAGATTGGTAAACAATATGAATCCACTGAGGTCTTACATGCATGACCCATGGATGTGGACGATGGCGAGGGGACTGACTGTGGGAGTGGGGGATGGGATGAGTGGGGGGAGGCAAAGAGGGAGAATGGGGACAACTGGAATAGCATAAACAATAAAACATTTATAAGGAGAAATATTCTAATTTTCAAATTTTAAAGTTGCTCTGTGTTTTTGTGCCTGCTCATTTTTTTCCTATATGAAAGAGAGATGTGTGTGTT